TGGCAACATTAAGAGGCATCTGGATGGTTACATGAATAGGGAGGGAATAGAGGGATACGGACTGAATAAGGGCAGAAGGTTTGCTTTTTAGTTTAGTCAGGGCATGATGATCGGCACAGGCTCGGCGGTCCGAAGGACCTGTTCCTGTGCTGTACTTCTCTTTTGTTCTTCTTGTTCTACCTCAAATCCAGTCAGTGGTCAGGGGCAGGAGGTGTGACTGTGAGCGAGGCAGGTAGAGAGGTCCAGGAAGTAGTGCTAAAGAAGCCTCAGTCCTTGAGCTTGTCTAACAGGTTTGAGATTCTTGCTCCCTGTGTGGAATCTGTAAGGAGAATGAGCAACTGACCATAGTGCTGTAATACAGGGACCCGTTCTAGAGAGGAGACAAAAGTGAACTGTCATTGTATATGGTGACAGTATAGTCAGGGAAATAGATGCTGTTCTCTGTGGCCTGATGGAGAGTCCCAAAGGCTGTGTTGCCTCCCTGATGTCCAGGTTCAAGATATCACATCTGGGCTGCAGAGGAACTTGGAGTGGGAGGGGAAAGATCCAGTTGTAGTGGTCCACATAGATACCGATAATATAGGGAGAAACGGGAAAGAGGTTCTGCTGAGGGAATATGAGCAGATAAGGGCTAAATGAAAAAGCAAAACCAAAAAGGTAACAATCTCCTGATTACTACCTGAGCCACAAGCTCATTGGCAGAGGATCAACACGATTAAAGAAGTAAATGTGTAGCTGACACATTGGTGTGGGATAAATGTGTTCAAAGCACTGTGGATAGGGCTTTAAACTAAATAGTGGGCTGTTGGGAACAGCTGTATAGAAAATTATAGAAAAAGTTAAAGGAGTGGTGCCTCAGCAGAGGTTATTAAAGTTTCCAGAAGAAGTTATAGAACAGAGAGTATGGAAAGGCTCAGGAATTTAACTTCAGGCACAGCAGAAAGGGAACAACTATGAGAAGGGGAGCAATCAAGGCAGGACTTAAATACTTAAAAAAAAGTACTTAAATACCCACAGTATCCACAACAAGGTAAATGAGCTGGTAGCGCATATTGAAATCGGTGGGTACGATATTGTGGGCATCACAGAGATGTGGCTGCAAGGTGATCTGGGCTGGAAAATAAATATCCAAGGATACACATCCTATTGAAAGGACAGGCAGATGGGCAGAGGGGGCAGGGTTGCCTTGTTAGTAAGAAATGAAATTAAATCATTAGCAAGAAGTGATAGAGTCAGAAGGCGGAGAATCTGTGTGGGTAGAATTGAGGAACTGTAAAGGAAAAAAGACCCTGATAGGAATGTGTACAGGCCATCTAGCAGTAGTCAGAGTGTGAGGAAGATAATAAATCAGGAGATAGAAATGCCATGTAAGAAAGGCACTATTACAATAACCATGGGGGATTTCAATATGCAGGTGGACTGGGAAAATCAGGTTTATAGTGGATCCCAAGAAAATGAATTTGTGAAATGTCGTTGAGATGGTCATTTGGAGCATTGTGTGGTACAGCCCACATGGGAACAGGCAATTCTGGATTTGGTGATGTGAAATGAGGCAGGCTTGAGTTGGGATCTTAAGGTGAAGGAACCCCTAGGGGACAGTGACCTTAATACGATAAACTTCACCTGGCAGTTTGAGAGGGGGAAGCTGGAATCAGGTGTAATGGTATTACAATTGAGTAAAGGGAACTACAAAGACATGAGCAAGGAGTGGGCCAGAGTTGATTGGAAGGGGAGTCTACCAAGGAAAACAGGGGGGAGCAACGGCAAGCGTTTCTGGGGGCAATTCAGGAGGCACAGCAAAAATTTATCCCAAGGAAGAAGACACATAGTAAAGGGAGGACTAGGCAACCATGGCTGACAAGAGAAGTCAGGGACAGCATAAAACCAAAACAGAAAGCATATAATGTGGTGAAGATTAGTGGGAAGCCTTTAAAAACCAGCAGGGGACAACTAAAAAAGCAATAACGGGGCAGAAGATGAAATTTGTTAGTAAGCTAGCTAGTATTATAGAAGATGATTGCAAGATGGTTTTTAGATATAAAGAAGGTAACAGAGAGGCAGGAGTGGACATTGGACAGCTGGAAAATGAGGCTGGAGAAGTAGTAATGGGGAACAAAGAAATGGCTGAATCGGTACTTTGCATCAGTTTTCACAATGGAAGACATCAGCAGCAAACTTGAACTTCAAGTGAGTCGGGGGCAGAGGTGAGTGTAGTGGCCATCACTAAGGAGAAGGTGCTGGGGAAGCTGATAGATCTGAAGGTGGCTAAATCATAGGGACTACATCCCAGGGTTCCGAAGCAGATAGCTGAGGTGATTGTGGAGACGTTAGAATCTCTCAGGACCCACTGGAGCCAGGGAGGGTCCGAGAGGACTGGAAAATAGATAATATTACACCCTGTTTAAGAAGGGAGGGAGGCAGAAGACAGGAACCATAGACCAGTTAGCCTGACCTCGGTCATTGGTAAGACTTTAGAGTCCTTTGTTAAGGATGAGATTGTGGAGTACTTGGAAGTGCATGGGAAAATAGGGCAGAGTCAGCATGGCTTCATCAGGGAGAGGTAATGCCTGACCCTGACAAATCTGTGAGGATTCTTTGAGGAAGTAGTGAGCAAGTCAGACAAAGGAGAGCCAGCGGGTGTGATCTATTTTGATTTCCAGAAGGCCTTTGACAAGGTGCCACAGTGGAGGCTGCTAAATAAGATAAGAGCTCATGGCATTAGGGGCAAGGTACTGGCATGGATAGAGGATTAGCTGATTGGCTGATTGGCAGAGGGCAGAGAGTGGGGATAAAGGGGTCTTCTTCAGGATGGCAGCTGGTGACTATAGTGGAGTTACACAAGGGTCAGTGTTGGGACAACTATTCACATTAACAAACTGGATGAAGCAACTGAGGGCATTGTTGCTAAGTTTGCAGATGATACAAAGATAGATGGAGGGACAAGTAGTGTTCAGGAAGTGGGGAGGCTCCAGAAGAACTTGGACAGGTTATGAGAGTGGGCAAAGAAGTTTCAGATGGAATACAATTTGGGAAGTGTGAGGCTTTGCAATTTTCTAGGATGAATAGAGGCAGAGACTATTTTCTAAATGGAGAAAGACTTTGGAAATCTGAAGCACAAAGGAACGTGAGAATCCTAGTTCGGGATTATCCTAAGGTTAACATGCAGGTTCATTTGTCAGTTAGGAAGGCAAATGCAATGTTAGCATTCATTTCAAGTGGGCTAGAATAAACAGCAGAGGCTGTATAAGGCTCTGGTCAGACCGCATTTGGAATATTGTGAGTAGTTTTGGACCCCGTATCTAAGAAAGGATGTAATGACATTGGAGAGAGTCCAGAGGAGGTTTGCAAGGATGATCCTATAGTCAAAGACTCAGGGTCTGTACTTGATACAGTTTAGAAGATGAGGGGCTGGATAGAGTGGATGTGGGAAGATATTTCCATGAATAGGAGAGACTAAGACCTGAGGGAACAACCTCAGAGTGAGGGGATAACCCTCTGGACTGAGATGAGGAGGAATTTCCTCAGCCAGAGAGTGGTAAATCTGTGGAACTCATTGCCACTGAGGGCTATGGAGGCCAAGTGATTTAGTGTCTTTAAGACAGAGATAGATAGGCTCTTGATTCATAAGGGGATCAAGGGTAAAGGGAGAAAGCAAGAGAATGGGGCTGAGAAACATATCGGCCATGATCAAATGGCAGAGCAGACTTGATGGGCAGAATGGCCTAAATGTGCTCCCAGATTTTATAGTGTTATGGTCTTGATTGCAAAGCTGAAGTCAATCCTTGATTGTCCTGAAACAAACAAGCCTTCAATATTTAATCTATCGTTTGTAAACCACAATGATAAATGTTCTATTAACTCTCCTGCAAGTCCCTACTGTCCAACACATACTGGATTAAGTCACTGTTTTGGAAGGACTGCTTGACTTAGTTATTTTTAGAAAAGTATATGGCACTATTTTAAAATACAAACTCTGAAGTTGATATGAATTAGTATAAACCACATGCCTTTCATTACATGCGGGCCATTTGAGCTGAATAGCCTGTTTCTTTAGGGCAGATTTTAAGCAATTGCAAATAATTCTGTGTTAAACTGGACAATTCTTTGACAAAAACTTCAGCAGAAGCGCCCACAAAATAAAATATTAAACTTAAGACAAAAGAAAAGCTGAATAACTGTGGAAAATCTTTGTTGAAGACAGTGAAAATATCCTGCTTATTGAATACCAATGGATCTTAGCGAGACAATCAATTACAATGGTTAAGTTTGGAAAGTCAGGCAATTTGGAAACAAGGCAATGAAACCGGGATTAAAAAGATGGTAATTCTTTAATTGTTAGTAAGACCACCATTTATTGCCCTGTGCCCTGAGCTGAATGGCTTGCTGGGCCATTTCAGGGGGTGGTTAAGACTCACCCATAATGCTGTGGGTCAGGAGTAACATGTAGGCCAGAATGGATAAGGATGGAAGGTTTCCTTTCCTAAAGGACATTAGTGAACCTAGATGGGTTTTTATGAAATTTGGTGATAGTTTTATGGTCACCCACGCTGCAACTCCCCATCAATTAATGATTTTTATGAATTGAATTGTAAATACTGTCATGGTGAGATTGGAATCATTTTCCCTACAGCATTAGCCTGAGCCTTCTGGGTTACTAGCTCAGTAACATTGCCATGACCCCACGACTCAAGACTTGTAACAGCCAACATAAATCGTGGCAAAGGCTTGATGGGCTGAATGGCCAACTGCTATTTCCATATTCGCTTTGGAAGTAACTTGGCAAGTTTCACTCAATCAAAGTGTTACCTAAACCCAAGGTATCAATTTTGGGAGAAACTGTACCTCGGTTTAATAGACCCAGTAACATGGAGTAAGGGAAGGGAGGAAATCAAGGTGCTTAGTGCTAGTGGAGAGTAAGTGAACTCACCACAGCCTTCACAAAAAATCCATTAAATTCTTCATTCAACTGTGAGACCAGAAATAAGTCACAGCAATCCCACCTCTTTCTGTGATCTTGAAAGCCAACGAGGGTCCACATATCCCAAGATTAGATTTGGCATCAAGCAGTACAGCATTTTGGCACAACACATCTGCAGCAGAGAAAAGAAAGCAAGTCCAAGTGAACCTACATCGTTGTTCGGATCCACAATTTCACCCAATTATAGGAGAGATTACTGCATGCTGGAGCAACTAAGGTGAGAGATTCACGTGCTCTGGTGTGAAGGCTAGTTTCAGAATCACGGAATTGCTACGCCACAGAAACAGGCCATTATGCCCATCGTTCCTGCGCTGGTTCTTTGATTTGATTTGATTTGGTTTGATTTATTGTGATCACATGCACCTAAGTACAGTGAAAAGTTTTGTTTTGAGAACAGTACAGGCAGATCATGGCAAACAAGGACATACAGATCATGGGGTGCTCAGACAGAGCAAGGCATACAAGGTTATGGCTGCACAAGAGGTACGCAAAGCAAGATCAACATTGGATTTGAAATTAGAGAGGACCATTCAGCAGACTAATAATAATAGGGTAGAAGCTGTTCTTGAACCTTTTGGTGCGTGTGTTCAAGCTTCTGTATCGCTTGCCTGATGGAAGAGGTTGGAAGAGAGTATTACTGGGGATGGGAGGGTTTTAGATGATATTGATAGCCCCTCCTTGGCAATGAGACACGTAAATAGAGTCTATGGATGAGAGGTTGGCTTCTGTGATGGTCTGGGCTGTACACACAACTTTCTGTAGTTTCTTATGGTCCTGGGCAGAGCAGTTGCCATACCAGGCCGTTATGCACCTGGACAGTATGCTTCCTATAGTTCATCTGTAAAAGTTGGTGAGAGCCTTTATGACAGGTCAAAGTTCCTGAGCTGCCTGAGGAAGAAGAGGTGTTGTTGTGCTTCTTGACCGTCACATCTACGTGGGAGGTCCAGGTTAGATTGTTGGTCACGTCACTCCTAGGAATCATAGAATCCCCACAGCCATTCGGCCCAACAAGTCCACACTGACCCTCCAAAAAGCATCCTACCCAGACCCATCCCCCTACTCTATCCCTGTAACCCTGCATTTTCTGTGGCTAATGCACCTAACCTACACATCCTTGGACACTATGGGGCAATTTAACATGGGCAATCCACCCTATCCTGCACATCTTTGGACTGTGGGAGGAAACTAGAGCACCCGGAGGAAACCTACGCTGACACGGGGAGAATGTGCAAACTCCACACAGTTGCCTGAGGTTAGAATCGAACCCAGGCCCCTGTGAGGCAGCCATGCTAACAAAGAGCCACCACGACACTCTCGACCCTCTCCGCCTCAGCTCCGTTGATGTAGATGGGGGCGTGTTCTCCTCCTTTCTTCCTGAAGTCAATGATCAGTTCTTTTGTTTAGCTGTCATTGAGAGACAGATTGTTATCATTGCACCATGACACCAAGCCCTCTACCTTCTTCCTGTATTCAGACTCATCGTTTGATATCATGGTAGTGTCGTCAGCAAATGTGTAGGTGGTGCTTGTATGGAATGAGGCAACACACTCGTAGATGTGCAGGGAGTACAGTAGGGGGCTGAGTATGCATCCTTGCAGGGGGGGCCAGTGTTGCGGATTATCATGGAGGAGGTGCAGTTGTCTACCTTCACTGATTGTGGTCTGTTGGTCAGGAAGCTGAGGATCCAGTTGCAGAGGGCAGAGCCAAGACCCAGCCTAGGTTTTGGAGTTTTGAGATTAGTTTGGGTGGGATTATAGTGTTGAAGGCAGAGCTGTAGTTGATGAGCAGGACCTTGACTTAGGTGTCCTTGTTATCCAGATGTTCCAGGGATGAGTGTAAGGCTAGGGAAATGGTATCCGCTGTGGGTCTGTTACATCGGTAGGCAGATTGCAGGGGATCGAGGCAGGTTGGGAGACTGGAGTTGATGTGGGCCATGACCAGCCTCTCGAAGCACTTTATGATTATGGAGGTCAGAGCCACTGGGTGGTAGTCATTAAGGCATGTTGTATGTGTTTTGTTAGGTACTGGGATGACGGTGGTCTTCATGAAGCAGGTGGGGACTGGAGAGGTTGAAGATGTTGGTGAATACCTCCCACAGTTGGTCTGTACAGGATCTAAGTGCTCGGCCGGGGACACCGTTCGGATCCATCACTTTCCTTGGGTTGACTCCCAGGAAGATTGATCTGACTTCTGCTGTAGTGACAGAGGGACGGTGTGTCTGGGGCTGTTGGGGCAGGTAAAACAACGCCGCTGGCATTCTGCTCGAACCGAGCATAGAAAGCATTGAGCACATCAGAGAGGGATGTGTTTTTGTCACGCTATCTTGCTCTGCTTCATTTTGTATCCCGTTATGTTGTTTAGGCCTTGCCACAGGCATCAGGAGTCTGTATGGTTGCTTTGGGCCTCCAGTCTGGTCTGATACTGCCTCTTGACATCTCTGATGGCTCTGCGGAGGTCATATCTGGATTTTCTATATAGGTTTGTATAGGTTCTGTTACCCAATGTCAATTTCCTGCCTCTTCCCCATATCCTTGCAGACAATTCCTATCCAAATAACTATTCATTAACCTCTTGAATGTTTCGATTGAACCTGCCTCCACCACATTTCCAGGCAGTGCATTCCAGACCCTAACTACTCACTGTGTGAAAAAGCTTTTCCTCACATCACCCTTATTTTAAATCTACACCCTCTCATTCTTGTTCGTTTCATGAGTGAGAACTTCTTCTCCCTATCTACTCTGTCCAGCTCACTCATGACTTTCAAAACCTCTGTCAAATCTCCTCTCAGCATCTTCTCTCCGAAGAGAACAGTCTCAACTTCTCCAGTCTATCCTTTCTCATCTGAAAGGAGTTAACGCTGTTGAATTCACTCGAGATGATTATGTCATAAGGGCATGGCTGGGTAAAGGAGCTCTGGATGTCAAAGAAGATAGATCTACCATCTTGGTCAGTTCATAGTCTTAGCAACAATTTCTATGGTACCAATGCAACTTCTACCCGATTGCTATTGGGCAATAAGATGACAGCCTTTTCTCATTAGACTACCAAGTGGTTTTCTGCTACCACTGTATCTCATGCAACACTATGACAGTGTTTCAGTTTACCATATGGAGAAGATTTTTTGTAAAAACACCACTGACATCCATGGGATTCTCTATCCATTGGGATTGAAGCTCCTGGACTGGCCCAAGATTGCACAGCCAATTTCTGAAACAAGCTTGCTTTTAGGAACAGCTGAGACTCAGGGAGAGAAAACTCAAAAGAAGGGGCAAATTATATTGTAGATACTTGCTTGAGATGTAAGGTCACATACGAGCATAAAAAATAGGAGCAAATGGAGGCCATTCAACACCTCTAGCCTGCTCCAGTGCTCAAAAAGATCACAGCTGATCTGTCTGTGTTTCAAATTCAACACTCACATCATTCCCTGATAATCTTTAACATAAATCTATTGACCTTTGCTTTCAAAGACCCACCTTCACTATCTTTTGAGGCAAGGAGTTTCAAAGTTGCAGAACTCTCCAAATTTTTAAACAACACCCCCTTGATCTGGACTCACCCACCAGGACGAAACATGTCCACCCTTGTTAAGACTATTCAGCATCTTATACTTCAACCAAGTCACCCCTCAGTTTTACAGTTACAAGGGGAGGAGGAGTGGGGGGGATGTGGAGAGAAACCAGGCAGATCAGAATAGAAGATAACAAGGTGTAGAGCTGGATGAACACAGCAGGCCAAGCGGCATCAGAGGAGCAGGAAGGCTGACATTTCGGGCCTAGACCCTTCTTCAGAAATGGGGGAGGGGAAGAGGGTTCTGAAATAAATAGGGAGAGAGGGGGAGGCGGATAGAAGATGGATAGAGGAGAAGATAGGTGGAGAGGAAACAGACAGGTCAAAGAGGCGGGGATGGAGCCGGTAAAGGTGAGTGTAGGTGGGGAGGTAGGGAGGAGATAGGTCAGTCCAGGGAGGACGGACAGGTCAAGGGGACGAGATGAGGTTAGTAGGTAGGAGATGGGGGTGCGGCTTGAGGTGGGAGGAGGGGATAGGTGAGAGGAAGGACAGGTTAGGGAGGCGGGGACAAGCTGGGCTGGTTTTGGGATGCGGTAGGGGGAGGGGAGATTTTGAAGCTTGTGAAATCCACATTGATACCATTGGGCTGCAGGGTTCCCAAGCGGAATATGAGTTGCTGTTCCTGCAACCTTCGGGTAGCAACGTTGTGGCACTGCAGGAGGCCCAGGATGGACATGTCGTCTGAGGAATGGGAGGGGGAATTGAAATGGTTCGTGACTGGGAGGTGCAGTTGTTTAGTGCGAACCGAGCGTAGGTGTTCTGCAAAGCGGTCCCTGAGCCTCCGCTTGGTTTCCCCGATGTAGAGGAGGCCACAACGGGAACAGCAGATGGCGGAAGTGTCGGAGGATGATGCATTGGATCCGGAGGTTGGTGGGGTGGTACGTGAGGACGAGGGGGATTCTGTTTTGGTTGTTATTGCGGGGAGGGGGTGTGAGGGATGAGTTGCGGGAAATGCGGGAGACACGGTCGAGGGCGTTCTCGACTACTGAGGGGGGGATGTTGCGGTCCTTGAAAAACGAGGACATCTGAGATGTACGGGAGTGGAATGCCTCATCCTGGGAGCAGATGCAGCGGAGGCGAAGGAATTGGGAAAAAGGGATGGCATTTTGCAGGAAGGTGGGTGGGATGAGGTGTGTTCTAGGTAGCTGTGGGAGTTGGTGGGCTTGAAATGGATATCGGTTTCTAGGTGGTTGCCACAGATGGAGACAGAGAGGTCCAGGAAGGAGAGAGAGGTATTAGAGATGGTCCAGAGAGGTCCATGAGGAGCTCGAACAGTTCAGCAACACCTTCCACCCCAACCTTAAGTTCACCTGCAAAAATGCCATCCTCTATTCCCAATGGTATCAATGTGGACTTCAATCAATGTGGACTTCACAAGCTTCAAAATCTCCCCTCCCCCTACCGCATCCCAAAACCAGCCCAGCTCGTTAGCCTCCCTAACCTGTCCTTCCTCTCACCTATCCCCTCCTCCCACCTCAAGCCGCACCCCCATTTCCTACCTACTAACCTCATCCCGCCCCCTTGACCTGTCCGTCCTCCCTGGACTGACCTATCCCCTCCCTACCTCCCCACCTACACTCACCTTTACTGGCTCCATCCCCGCCTCTTTGACCTGTTTGTTTCCTCTCCACCTATCCTCTCCTCTATCCCTCTTCTATCCGCCTCCCACTCTCTCCCTATTTATTTCAGAACCCTCTTCCCCTCCCCCATTTCTGAAGAAGGGTCTAGGCCCGAAATGTCAGCCTTCCTGCTCCTCTGATGCTGCTTGGCCTGCTGTGTTCATCCAGCTCTACATCTTGTTATCTCAGATTCTCCAGCATCTGCAGTTCCTACAGATCAGAATAGAAAGCTGCCAAAGCCATGGGTCATATTGAATTCCAAATAGGAGTTTATATTATGTATGATGGTGAGCCTGAACAGCCTTTTCTTATCTTTGACTTTCCTTCAAGGACAAATTAACCGAAGGTGGATAAAGGTTCCTTCAGGTATGCTTCCAGTTGCCCCAGATTGGGGCAACTGAAGTTTCTGATACACGCCTGAGCTCAGCAGGCCAGTCATCTCGGTTTCCCACGACAACCACCTCTCTCAGCTGCTGGGAGGGCAGGTAATCGGGAAGGTGGAAAGTTCAGGCCCTAAAGGAGCCACTAATCGATCGATCGAAGGCTTCAATCGGTTGCACACAGATCCTCTCACCCGGAACTTGATTGGTGAGATGGTGAGAAGAGGAGGAACTATTTGTCAGTTAGTTCCCTTTCTCGCTACCTCCAGGGAGGGGAAAAATTCTGGCCTCATTCAATTTGTGGAGTTGGGAGGCTAGGTGAATGCAATGTCGTAATCAGGCTCAGCAAGTCTCTAAGGAAACCACGGCAGCAGCTCACTGCAGACACAAACTCTGCACACGACAGCCAGGAGCGGTTGTAGGTGGCTCTAAGCCTAAAACACGGCCCACTCTGTGGATGTTTACAATCTCTTGTGCCAACTGGAACTGGAAAAGGAGTTTTATTGCAGTGCGCTGACCCACATTCCTCCCTCAAACATGACCTTAGCTCTAATTTGTTTGACTCTTCTTGACTATTAATGAAGTCTACAGCCAAAACTAATAGATGTCTTAGAATCCATACAGTGTGGAAACAGGCCATTCGGTCCAACCTTCCAAACAGCATCCCACCCAGACCCATCCTCCTACCCTATCCCAGTATTATTGCCCACTCATGGGGCACGCTTTTAAATTCATTTCCGGGATGTGGGCGTCACTGGCTAGGCAGCATTTATTGCCCATCCCTAATTGCCCAGAGGGCAGGTAAGTGTCATCCATATTGCTGTGGGTCTGGAGTCACATGTCGGCAGGACCAGGTAAGGATGGCAGTTTCCTTCCTTAAAAAGTATTAGTGAACCAGACGGGTGTTTCCCCAACAATCAGCAATGGATTCATGGTCATTATTAGACTCCTAACTCCAGATTTTTATTGAATTTAAATTTCAACTCCTGTCATGGCAGGATTTGAACCAAGGTCCCCAGAACATTACCTGGGAAATCTCTGAATTAACATCCAGTGATAATACCAGTAGGCCGTCACCTCCCCGTAATATTACATATGAGACTTGCCAAATAAATTAATTATTAAATTCTTATAAACGGCAATGAAATAATTCGTATGGACCTGCTAGCGTATCCAAGAGTGGAGGTCAATAATTCAGAGATTGAGAGTTCAAATCCTACTGTGAAGATCTGAAAACTGCAATTTGTATTTTCAAGGTGTGGACATCCTTAGCCAGGTCTGGGGAATGATAGCAATGACCTGAGATGATCTCTGAATGGAGTGAAAAGGCACAAAGCCTTACCTGTGCTTTGTTGAGCGTTCGGACGGGGCTTAAGGCCTTTAGGGGGAAAAAGAAATCAATTCTTTGCTTTCCCTATGGGCCTCTTTCATAACCAAGCAGTGGTCTTCTGTTATGAATAAAAATAAAACAAGGCACTGCAGATGCTGAAGATCTGGCAAAGAAACTGGAATTGTTGGAGAAACTCAGCAGATCTGGCAGCATCTGTGCAGAGAAAACACAGTTAATGTTTTGAAACTAGTGACCCTTCTTCTGGACTCTGTTAACTCTGTTTTCTTGCCACAGATGCTGCCAGACCTGCTGAGTTTCTCCAGCAATTACTGTCTTCCGTACTAGTTTGTTCTCACGGGGCTCTATCTTGGTCTTAGCCACTTGGCTGGTGGCTTGAACTAAATTGCCATTGACTGGACTGACCAGTGCGGGTCTGGTGGGCAGGACTGACTCCTGGTGGAAAGGAGGGGAATGCACACCCATCCAACTGGCTCCTACATGAACAGCAGGCTTTAGAATCTGCTTCCCTCTGGGTACCCTTGCAATCGAATCCCGCCAATAATTGGGATCTTCCTTGAAAATGGGGATTGACTGTAAGATGTAAGAACGGAACTAGGCCATTCAGCCCATCAGGTCTGCCCTGCTATTCAGTGACATCATGGTTAGAAGTTGGTATAAACAGCTTTGGGGTGGACGGGGGGGGGGAGGGGGGGATAGGATGGGATTCCTTCCACAGAGTGTTCATTGTGTGTTTTTTTTTACCCTTGCTGGCGTTGCTGACTCAGGATTCAATATGACCAGGGGTGCGATAAATATCACCCCAGCGATGTACTTCTGTCTCTCGTTTGCGACAGAGATTGCGATGGTCCCACCCTGAAATGCAAGAGGAGGCAGAATTACAACAACTACTCCATTTGGCAAAACCCCTATTGTACTGGGCTGAGCAAAGTCACCACAGTAGCTCAGTCGGTGCAGGCACTACCCAATGCAGTCCGAGTCCACACAACCGTGAAGTACCTGGTCTGGTTCCTGGCCTGTACAGGGGCAATCCTCGCCAGGACAATGTCTTGATTCAGCGGGGGTTGGGGGGGGGAGTTGTGGTTATTCTCCTTATTGGCTGTGATCAAAGACCAAGAGAACATCAGGAGCCATTTTCACGCCCAACCCAGTTATCTTTTCCCCGAGCAACAACTTGCATTTACATGGCACCTTTAATGCCTTGTTTTTATATTCATTCATGTTGCTGGCTGAGCCAACATGTACTGCCCTAATTCCCTGAAGAAGGAGGTGGTGGGCAGCTTTCTTGAGCTGTTGTAGTTCTTTCGGGAGTAGGAACACACAATGCTGTTAGGAAGGATTTTGACCCAGCGACAGTGAAGGAACGGCGATATATTTCCAAGTCAGGATGGTGAGTGACTTGGAGGGAAACTTGTAGGGTATGGTGTTCTCCGATATCTGCTACCCTTGTCCTTCTAGATGGAAGTGGTCTTGGGTTTAGAAGGTGCTGCCTAAGGATCTTTGGTGCATTTCTGCGGTGCATCTTGTAGATAGTACACACTGCTGCTACTGAGCGTCGGTGGTGGAAGGAGTGGATGTTTGTGGATGTGGTGCCAATCAAGCGGCTGCTTTGTCCTGGATGACATCAAGCTTCTGGAATGTTATTATAGTAAAAATTAGCAAACTGTCCCAAAGCAGCTTGGTGTAATTAAACTTGGCAGAGGCGTTATTTAACACAATTTGTGAGGGTGGAGAATTAGATATTAGGGTTTGGGTGTCAGGGTGGCTCAGAGGAACTGTGCTGCATTGAACAATATTGCCAGATGGTAGATGTTCTTTTAGACTGAATGCTAGTTTTAGCATTGGGAATATGGTGCGGATATTTCTCCATTAACAGCTGCTGAGTTCTCTCGTATGTGCTGGAGAGCCTCTGCTGCAGGTAATTGCGCCTGAATGGTCCCACAGTTTTCCCAGCCGAGCCAAGATGATGCTGGGTGGACCAAAGCCAGGGGTTCCGCCCCTGAGAGCAGCCCCCACCAATACTGTCATGGCTGGGAAGGGGTTTGGGTTTCCAGTTGAACTTTGGACATACCTGTTTCATGAAGGTCGTTTGGTATGGCTCTGTGGGGTGTTACCCTGGAAATCATGCCCCACCATTTGCAGAGACTTCACAAAATATAAAGATTTTTATAAATACGCCACATTCCCCAATTTTCAGACCCTGGTTGACAGAAAGTTTCTGTACTTAACAAGAATGAATATTTATGACAAGTGATTTAGCATCTACAGGTAAACAATTATAAACTATTGGCTTATAACACTTTTTTTTATATTCACTCATGGATCATGGGATGTGGGCATCTCTGGCTGGGCCAGCATTTATTGCCTGTCCCTTGCTGCCCTTCAGAAGGTGGTGGGGAGCTGCCTTCTTAAATCGCTGTAGTTCATTGTGTTCTGGTACCTAGGTCTATGTCAGGTTGTCTGTCTGGTTCCATTTCTTTGTTGAGATTTTGTAGGGGTTTGATACAACTGAGTGGCTTGCCATGCCATTGCAAAGGGTAGTTGAGAACCAGCCACTTTGCTGTGGGTCTGAAGTCACAGGTAGGCCAGACTAGGTAAGGATGGCAGATTTCCTTCCCTGAAGGACATTTGTGAACCAGATGGGTTTTTCCCCTACAATCAACAATGGATTCATGGTCATCATTAGATTCTTAATTCGAGTGGCAGGATTGAACCCAGGTCCCCTGAACACTACCCGGGTCTCTGGATTAACAGTCCTGTGATAATACCACTAGGCCATAACCTCCCCATCTCCCAAGATGGGATTCGAACCAAGGTCCCCATTAGCTGAGATCCTGGATTAATAGTCTATCAATAATACCACTAGGCGATCATGTCTCCATTTCTAATTATTATAACTCTGCTAATCCCCTTGTAAACTTTTCCTTACATACACAAACATACGGTGTAAAATCAGTTATGGGCAGAGAGGAAGAACTGGAAAGAATGTTCAGTAATTTTTGTTCCCATGCTCTGTTGTTGAGGTAATCCATATGACTCATCTGCTGGCCAGCAACAAACTTCAGTCATCTTTCTCTAGATGCTGTCACAGGTTGGTAAGACACAAAAGATGACCAGTTCACTCATAAAAACTCTCTAACTGATGTTCTTTAGTTTTACAGTGGGCTTTGACTGCAGAGAACACAGGGACCACTCCCATGCTGGAGAAGAACTAAACACGTCTGTCTCTCTCTCCCCCTCTCTGTGTAATTTGTTCCCAGCGCCAAACTGCTCAGTTACCTGAGAACCAATCACACAGTTGTTGGAAGGCATCTCTCATCAATAACTGGTCACTAGTTGAAGGATTGGTTAGTTCAGTTGGCTCATTGGCTGGTTTATAATACAGAATGATGCCAACAGTTCGCATGCCAGCTGCTGTTATAGAGTCATAGAAATGTAAAGCAATGGAAACAGACCCTTCGGTCCAACTCGTCCAGATATCCTAAATTAATCTAGTCCCATTTGCCAGCATTTCGCCCATATCCCTCTAAACCCTTCCTATTCATGCACCCATCCAGGTACCTTTTAAATGTTGTAATTGTACCAGCCTCCACCACTTCCTCTGGCAGCTCATTCTATACACACACCACCCTCTGTGTGAAAAAGTTGTCCCTTAGGTCCCTTTTAAATCTTTTCCCTCTCATTTAAAATCTGTGCCCTCTAGTTTTGGACTCTCTTACCCTGGGGAAAAGACCTTGGTTATTCACCCTCTCCATGCCTCTCATGATTTTATAAATTTACATTAGGTCACCCCTCAGCCTCTAACGCTCTGTGGAAAACAGTCCCAGTCTATTCAGCCCCTCCCTATAGCTCAAACCCTCCAACCCCAGCAGCATCCTTGTAAATCTTTTCTGAACGCTTTCAAGTTTCACAACATCTTTCCTAAAGCGGGGAGACCAGAATTGAGCCAAAAGTTACCATGGAGGACTCTCCTTCTCAACCTTTTCCCTTGCCTGAGGTGTGATGACCCTCAGGATAAACCACCACCAGTCATCTCTCTCAAATGAGAGAGCGCCCCTATGGATTAGTAAAACTATGGTGACTTAACCTTGCTTACTAACACAGTGACCAATTAACTTCTTGGTCTTCTTAATTTCTGCAGATCAACCTTTGATTACTGTTTGTTCAAGCAGTTGTTTAGAAGATGCTTGCTACCAGTGTCAGCTTATTTGTTTTTTCAAAGCTGCAGCCCCCTTTCAAACACATTGAGTTTAAAACAGCTCTTTCTCAGTTCACAATTTTTAAAAACATCAAAAACACAAAGACACAATCCTTAGTTTCTCATGTAAAGCTGCCTACAATCTGATTGGATTTTCACAAGGCTGGGGTGGAGGTGGGAATTCAATGTCTTTTATGAGGGGTCCAATTTTCAGTAAGTTTGTTAAAAGTGGACAAGAATATGCATAAAAAGTGGATTAGCTCATTTGGATTGTCAGAAAGCTGTCAAGGAACATAAATACCCTGTCCTGTAAAAAGGGTCTGCTGTGTTAGAAAGATAGTGCTCGCTGTTTTGCTCTGTCTGTTGACATAAGCCTGATAGTTAGTGTTATAGGATTATTGCTACAGGAGTGATTTCACAACCTATCATTGTCATAGTAGGATGTCTGTCAGTTTACAGTTGTATTGCCAGTTCACAGTTTCATTAAGCATTTATAAAATCTTTGACGGCAAAGTGTCGGTGTTGGTCTGGGATGGACAAGGTCAGAAGGTCACACGACACCAGGTTATAGTCCAATGGGTTTATGTGAAATCACAAGCTTTCGTAGCACTGCTCTTTCATCAGGTGATGTCAAATAAACCTACTGGGCTATAATCTGTGTTGTGTGACTTCTGACCTGTTAAAATCTTTAAAATGGGCCTATGAATACAAATGATAGTAGGAACTGCAGATGCTGGAGAATCTGAGACAACAAGGTGTAGAGCTGGATGAACACAGCAGGCCAAGCAGCATCAGA